CAGACGATAATAAACTCAACTTACTAGCCTAAAATCTCCGTAGCGTGTTGCCAGGCGGCAGAAAGCATATATATAATTATAATAAAGTTACAATAAATTAAGTTAATATATAATTATATATACAGTACCTAATTTATATATAATTAATATATAATTATATGTACAGTACCTAATTTATATATAATTTATATATAATACTAAACAGACGATAGCAAACTCAATTTAGCCGCTCCGTAGCGTGGCGCAGGGTCGGAGGAAAGTAGTTCGGCTGCTCATCCACTATTGGTCCAGACTCTATCAATCTTGTCGCGAAACGACGTTATAGGAGGTACGTTATACGAAAGTTGCTACAATTTTTTCGCTACGTTATAGGAATTGTCGTTATAGGAACGTACGTTATAGGGGGTCGACTGTATATGTTACTGCCAATGTCAGCATTGACACAGTCGTTTCGTGTATATACGAAATATTTGCTAAATATCATTATTTCTCACTTACAATGTCGACATTTACCGTGCACCGATGGCGAATGTTGAATAAAAATATTTTTATTTTTAATACGTCAAAATAAGAGAAAGCTTAAGTAACGGCGTATGTAAATAAACTGTCGAACCTAAAACCAACATTACATTCTAAATCATTAAAGAAAATAATACAATAATAATTATTATTGTCTTATTGTCTTTATTTCAATTATTATATTTGTCAACGTGGACATAAATTATTAATAGGACTATTATAAATCAGACAAAAAATAGATTTATTGAATGAAAAAGTAGGCGTTTATTCTAAGTTCAACTGCGATTAAAAGATCGCAGTTGAACTTAGAATAATGGTAAGTTCGAGCCGAACGTCGTAAAGGTAAAAGGTCTGCCTTTAAATGTAATTTTAATTTTTATAATAGGATTACGAACCAATTTATAAATCCACCGAAAAGCCTATTATTGTCGGGAGTCGGATTCTCGTATTTCGTAAGCCCATTACATCGTATTAATTTTAGTAATTTTAAAAATTTATTTAACATTTAAAGACGATAGCCGTGGTAACCCCGTCGAAGAGGGGCGTGTTAGCCCGAAACACAGTGGTAAACAAAAGTGCGCGTACTCGATAAAGAAATTGTTTTCTTTAAGAACTTTTACTCGATTTCGCGTTAATACTTAACACCAGTTTAATTAACAGTCCTATTAATAATTTACGTCCAAGTTGACAAATATAATAAGAGTACAATAATAAACTTACACATAACTTATGTAATTAATGTTATAAAATTTTATTTATTGCAACAACTTAAACTGTTATGGCACTTTGAATTGCACGAGAGTCCCTCGCTTTTACAACTGCATTTATTCGCGGAACATTTCTTTTTGCAATGACGGCGTGTATAGCCTCGCCCTCCACTTTTCGAATTAGCCGCAGTCGCTTCTCTCGGCGATATTTCTTAAGAAGAAATATCGCCGAGATAAGCAGCTGCAGCTAATGGTGTCTTTTATTCGGATATCGCCAATGCCTTACCGACGACCCCTCTCATCCTCCGCCACTCGACCTGACAAACCGATCCCCACCTCACGGGATCAAAAGAACAAAAATGTCATCTAGTGACAAAGTGGAGGGGTTCCACCAAACCGCTGCCGGGAAAAGAGGTACGACCAGGTACGATTTGGCGACAGGATGTCGCTTCTCTGTCGGCATCGACTTCTCGGGTGTCGTTTTGACCTCCACTAAAGCTTATCTGTGCTCATCGACACACGTGGTAAACCGGCACTTGTTCGAATGTATAATAATATAACCAAATACTCGGTCTTTCACCGAAGTATTTTGCATTCACCGAAGAATATCGATAGTCTCTAATTTCCGTCTTTCACAGTAACATATGCAGTCGACCCCCCTATAATTACGGTCCCTATAATTACGATTCCTATAAAACTACGAAAAAATATNGCATGATTACTCCTTTGAGAATTAACCTAACGAATATGGGCAATTCTACTCAGGTGCTCGGTGCAGTTCGCCGAAACTGTTAAATTGTCCCCCATAAACTACCAAGAATTATAAAGGTCAGGCGTGCATGATTACTCCTTTGAGGATTAACCCATCGTGTATAGCCGCCTTTACCCACCTGAGATTTTGTTTTTTTCAATCATGTCCTACATTGGCTATCTATCTTTTATGCTCTGAAGAGGATGACGACTGTTACAGATCAAACAAGCAGTTGAAGAGGATATATTGAAAGAAACTGCAAATGCTAAATTACTGAAAAGTGCAGTTGACAGTAAACGGGAACATAGGAAAATCAAGCCTTCAACGGCTGATACCTTAATAATGTCGAAAGGGTGGTTGACTAAGTCTGGAAGCACTTAGTTGAAAATTTTATAAGTTAAACAGTTTTGGTATTTATGTTTATTGTGATGGAATATAATAATGTGTATAGGTACAAAGATATTAATATCAAACTAGAAGAGGAGGAGGCAAGATCTTTGTTGTAGGCAATAATCTAGATCTGGGATGGTGAACCATTTTGAGTCTGCATGCCATATATTAAGCATATTTATCTTTAAAAATATTTACGCGCGCTAAAGTTTTAGACATCGAATAAAGATATTTAAAGAAAGTAAACGAATATACTTTAGAATAAATGTAAAGAAGCCGATCGAAAAGACAAATAATAAAACAAAATTGTACGATACATTACATGCCAGATTACTTGCCGATTTCTCCCTATATGGCATAGGTTTGCCACCCCTGATCCAGATGAACACAGAAATTAAAAATTTAAAACCTGATAAATATTAATCTCACATACTTTAAATCTGGACCCAAACTTAAATGGGTAAGTGAATCGATTTAGATTTAAAGGTCTAAAGTATTTCTAAGTTCAATGTTTTAAAAATGTAATATGTAATTGTTAGTATTCAAGTCTGCAGAGAGGTCAAATGGGACACTGGCCGTACCCTGAAATTGAATAAAAAATTCCAGAAATTATAATTATAAAACTGATTGAGATATGTAACCTTACATCCTCAACCACAGGAGGCTTTGTTTTTTTTGTATCCGTGTCGGCCTATTCTATATCTACATGCAAAAATATTAAACTAAATAAAAATTTATTGGTGTAATTATTTGTTTGCAAACTTTGCTCCTCTGGAAAATTTTCTGCACATGCCCACGCTTGTTAGAGCGATTAGATTAATAATTTATTGTATATAATGCGTTTTGCATCAAAACTTATTTTTAATCGGAAATAAGATAATTTTTATTTACAGCAATTATAACTATATATTTAATGTATATAATGTGTAATTTTAAAAAGAATTAATTTTACCTCTACATATACTTTAGACAAGGCACGGCAATAATATACTTGAGAGTTGTTGCGAGCATAAAAGGAAGATTTTCCCTCCGATAAATAGGAATTATACTTTTCGTAACTTCTCTGCAACAGGTTGCTTACCAGCCACAAATATATCTGCAGTATAACTAGTAAATATATATATAATATTTTCTAATACAATTGAATACAATAACTCACGAATAATAATAATAATATACTACCTTCCACGTTTAACAGTTCTTCCATTTCGTTGATTAGAAATTTTTGCTTCAAGATTTTGTCATAATTATTTAGAAAACTTACACTGCTGCTCTGCGATGGTTGAAAATTTTCTGAAAAATCAATATATATAATTAATGTATGTAAAATATAAATGCTTTGTTCAAACTGTTCAAATTTAATTACAAAATACATTCACTTTTGGGGAATTTTCTATGTTTAAACTTAAAGGAATAAAAATAAAACTGCACGCTTCATTACAATTACTTGAGAAATTTTGCTACAAGTTGAGCAAAGTAGCCATAATGTTCCTAAATGCAAGATTGAAATAATGATATTCAATGCGCTGGATTTATCATTGTATCAAAGTCTGACATAGCGTGTTAAACACGTGTTAGTTCACTTTGGAACACTGCGAAAGTGAAACCTTCTCAAAGTTAACTTATTCGAGTAGTCTTTGATATTAATTTTTAATGTGGTAAAATGTAGAACAGATTACCTGTTCCAATGCTCACACCCCTTGAAATTTTAAGATGTGTATTTACATTCTTCAACATCAATTTGTTAAGGTTTTTTTAATGTAAGAGAACAATGTAAGGTTGTCCCATTTTCTCACACTCCTCCCTTTAAGTATAGCTTAAGAAATTAGCAAAGCTTGCAAAAATATCTTGTAAAACTATACTGGTGCAAAGTCATACATGTAAAATTGGCAGGGGTTTTAGGAATACAGTAAAATAAATAAGGTACTTATCGATTCGCGGGGTGCCAGTCAATCGATGCGATCTAACTCTCTGTGTTGGGTTGATAATTGGTTCAGAAAGGATTTCCTAAATGGACGAGTAACTTCAAACACAACAGTCGTTCGCAAATGGTTCGCTGGCTCGCGCCTCCCGCTCGCGGGGCGCGAGTATTCGCCCCGGGGCTCTGGGCGGGCGACCCCCCGATCCAAGAGAAAATTATATAACATCAGGTCACGTGGGAGGCAAGTACTATGTATTGTAACTAAACTTCCAATTACAGGTCGATCGATGTCCAAGAGTGTAAATCTACCAGAAATTGGCTACGTTACATTACCGAAGAAGATCGGAACCCACTCCATCCCAATGTTAGCTCTAGCGAATTTCACTTCAACTACCGAGCCAGAAAACGGGCTACTAATGCAGCGGGGGATGTGGGGAGCATACGTACCAGTGGCGTGCCGTCATCGGAAGCGGTGGATGCGCCGCTTCCCTCGTATTTTCTAAAAAAAATAAATACATATTAGTTTTAATTATACGAAAATAATCGCGCAATATTTTATTATAACCGCATTACGTATCTTATTACAAATTTCTATACTACGCGTGAAAAAAAGATAAGATCGCTATCGTATATTCTAATATTAGTGGCGGGGTGGAAGCGCCGTACCGTCGGCATCCGAAAAGCCGGATTCGCGCGCGCGCTTTACGGAGCACCGGCGGAAGCCTAGGACCCGGGGTGGACGCTACGCGTATACCGCATCCGATTCTATCCAGGACCGGTTCCGGGCCGTTAGCCGCCCGCCCGCTAGATATTTGGCATTGACCGGTAACGGCCCCCTAGGGATTTGGCAGTCGGTGTGTATGCGCACTCCGCAACCGTCTTCGATTCCATCTGTTAGCCACTGGTAGGGAGCTATTTGACTAAGCGCGTTGTTTTAAGATTTCAAAAGTAAAGAATATTTTATATTTTTATGTACGTTTCTTTACAAAGTTGTATTTAATTATAATTTTCTTTAAAAGTATATTCATACGATTGACGAATATTTCGTACCGGGTATGTACTGTACATCCAGCACACAGTTTATTTCACCGAGTAAGTTTTTATTATTTTATTTATAATTGTAGCACTTATATCGTGGTTAGCGATTCGGAATGTAATTGTGATATTAAAAATGCATTTAGAGAATATGTAAATTTTCGACTATAAATTCGACTATCTTCTATTATCAGGACTTATTATACTGGTTAACCAGTATAATAAGTCCTGATAATAGAAGATAGTCGAATTTATAGTCGAAAATTTACATATTCTCTAAATGCATTTTTAATATCACAATTACATTCCGAATCGCTAACCACGATATAAGTGCTACAATTATAAATAAAATAATAAAAACTTACTCGGTGAAATAAACTGTGTGCTGGATGTACAGTACATACCCGGTACGAAATATTCGTCAATCGTATGAATATACTTTTAAAGAAAATTATAATTAAATACAACTTTGTAAAGAAACGTACATAAAAATATAAAATATTCTTTACTTTTGAAATCTTAAAACAACGCGCTTAGTCAAATAGCTCCCTACCAGTGGCTAACAGATGGAATCGAAGACGGTTGCGGAGTGCGCATACACACCGACTGCCAAATCCCTAGGGGGCCGTTACCGGTCAATGCCAAATATCTAGCGGGCGGGCGGCTAACGGCCCGGAACCGGTCCTGGATAGAATCGGATGCGGTATACGCGTAGCGTCCACCCCGGGTCCTAGGCTTCCGCCGGTGCTCCGTAAAGCGCGCGCGCGAATCCGGCTTTTCGGATGCCGACGGTACGGCGCTTCCACCCCGCCACTAATATTAGAATATACGATAGCGATCTTATCTTTTTTTCACGCGTAGTATAGAAATTTGTAATAAGATACGTAATGCGGTTATAATAAAATATTGCGCGATTATTTTCGTATAATTAAAACTAATATGTATTTATTTTTTTTAGAAAATACGAGGGAAGCGGCGCATCCACCGCTTCTGATGACGGCACGCCACTGGTACGTATGCTCCCCACATCCCCCGCTGCATTAGTAGCCCGTTTTCTGGCTCGGTAGTTGAAGTGAAATTCGCTAGAGCTAACATTGGGATGGAGTGGGTTCCGATCTTCTTCGGTAATGTAACGTAGCCAATTTCTGGTAGATTTACACTCTTGGACATCGATCGACCTGTAATTGGAAGTTTAGTTACAATACATAGTACTTGCCTCCCACGTGACCTGATGTTATATAATTTTCTCTTGGATCGGGGGGTCGCCCGCCCAGAGCCCCGGGGCGAATACTCGCGCCCCGCGAGCGGGAGGCGCGAGCCAGCGAACCATTTGCGAACGACTGTTGTGTTTGAAGTTACTCGTCCATTTAGGAAATCCTTTCTGAACCAATTATCAACCCAACACAGAGAGTTAGATCGCATCGATTGACTGGCACCCCGCGAATCGATAAGTACCTTATTTATTTTACTGTATTCCTAAAACCCCTGCCAATTTTACATGTATGACTTTGCACCAGTATAGTTTTACAAGATATTTTTGCAAGCTTTGCTAATTTCTTAAGCTATACTTAAAGGGAGGAGTGTGAGAAAATGGGACAACCTTACATTGTTCTCTTACATTAAAAAAACCTTAACAAATTGATGTTGAAGAATGTAAATACACATCTTAAAATTTCAAGGGGTGTGAGCATTGGAACAGGTAATCTGTTCTACATTTTACCACATTAAAAATTAATATCAAAGACTACTCGAATAAGTTAACTTTGAGAAGGTTTCACTTTCGCAGTGTTCCAAAGTGAACTAACACGTGTTTAACACGCTATGTCAGACTTTGATACAATGATAAATCCAGCGCATTGAATATCATTATTTCAATCTTGCATTTAGGAACATTATGGCTACTTTGCTCAACTTGTAGCAAAATTTCTCAAGTAATTGTAATGAAGCGTGCAGTTTTATTTTTATTCCTTTAAGTTTAAACATAGAAAATTCCCCAAAAGTGAATGTATTTTGTAATTAAATTTGAACAGTTTGAACAAAGCATTTATATTTTACATACATTAATTATATATATTGATTTTTCAGAAAATTTTCAACCATCGCAGAGCAGCAGTGTAAGTTTTCTAAATAATTATGACAAAATCTTGAAGCAAAAATTTCTAATCAACGAAATGGAAGAACTGTTAAACGTGGAAGGTAGTATATTATTATTATTATTCGTGAGTTATTGTATTCAATTGTATTAGAAAATATTATATATATATTTACTAGTTATACTGCAGATATATTTGTGGCTGGTAAGCAACCTGTTGCAGAGAAGTTACGAAAAGTATAATTCCTATTTATCGGAGGGAAAATCTTCCTTTTATGCTCGCAACAACTCTCAAGTATATTATTGCCGTGCCTTGTCTAAAGTATATGTAGAGGTAAAATTAATTCTTTTTAAAATTACACATTATATACATTAAATATATAGTTATAATTGCTGTAAATAAAAATTATCTTATTTCCGATTAAAAATAAGTTTTGATGCAAAACGCATTATATACAATAAATTATTAATCTAATCGCTCTAACAAGCGTGGGCATGTGCAGAAAATTTTCCAGAGGAGCAAAGTTTGCAAACAAATAATTACACCAATAAATTTTTATTTAGTTTAATATTTTTGCATGTAGATATAGAATAGGCCGACACGGATACAAAAAAAACAAAGCCTCCTGTGGTTGAGGATGTAAGGTTACATATCTCAATCAGTTTTATAATTATAATTTCTGGAATTTTTTATTCAATTTCAGGGTACGGCCAGTGTCCCATTTGACCTCTCTGCAGACTTGAATACTAACAATTACATATTACATTTTTAAAACATTGAACTTAGAAATACTTTAGACCTTTAAATCTAAATCGATTCACTTACCCATTTAAGTTTGGGTCCAGATTTAAAGTATGTGAGATTAATATTTATCAGGTTTTAAATTTTTAATTTCTGTGTTCATCTGGATCAGGGGTGGCAAACCTATGCCATATAGGGAGAAATCGGCAAGTAATCTGGCATGTAATGTATCGTACAATTTTGTTTTATTATTTGTCTTTTCGATCGGCTTCTTTACATTTATTCTAAAGTATATTCGTTTACTTTCTTTAAATATCTTTATTCGATGTCTAAAACTTTAGCGCGCGTAAATATTTTTAAAGATAAATATGCTTAATATATGGCATGCAGACTCAAAATGGTTCACCATCCCAGATCTAGATTATTGCCTACAACAAAGATCTTGCCTCCTCCTCTTCTAGTTTGATATTAATATCTTTGTACCTATACACATTATTATATTCCATCANCGTATTTTGGAAATGTTGAGTCGGATTAGTGTAGAATCGATTAATTTTATGGAAGAAAACCTTTCAATCAGCCGTAGTCCGTAAACTTGACACGTGTCGGGCTGTGATTGGAACGACTTGTAAGAAATCGGATTCCTAATAAATTGGAACGTATCTATATCTTATAGGGGGGTCGACTGTACATACCAAAAGAAATCCCGGATATTTCCATTAGCCCTAAATTTTGTTTCCGTATCCATCTGTCTTATACCCTTATTTTTCCTTAGTTATAAGATAGACATACCAGTAAGTTAGGCGTAAATTAGTTATAAATTAGTTTTTTGTTAGTTTTATGATTGATTGTCACGCGTACGAACCCCAGTTATTGTGGAGGTCAAGCCTATTCCTTTTTTGTGCATAGAAGAAAGGCATAAAGTTTGTAAAGTTGGGATTCCGACAAAAAGGAAAAGATCCAGTTCGGAGAGAGTAAAGAATACTGTGTGATATAATTGAATTTTGTTTCTTTCTTTTTGCAACACAATATCTCATAAATTAATGGCGCCCTGCTAACAGGGAAGTACGATAAATAATGACAGTTTAGAGAAATGTTAAGTTATACTGTTCTACTCAAACTGGAATTATTAATAAACTTACACGCCACCTTTCACACTTTTTAAGCTGTAAAAAATGTTTCTTGCACTCCGAAATTCTAGTCCAGGTATGGGCAACCCGCCCTGGACTAGAATTTCGTAATAAAATATATTAAATATAAATAAATATATTAATTTCCCAGCTGAATGAAGTCTTCTTCTTAGCGTTGTCCCACAGATGCAGTGTTCGAAGATCCGCTATTCGGATCTTCGAACGCCACTTTGTTCGATCGAGTGCATCGTTTGAATTCAAGTGCGGATCCCTTACGTCTGTATTGATAGCATCTTGCCATCGTTACTTCGGCCGTTTACCTCTAGGTGGTAGGCAATGTTGGCAACTGTGTTTGGGGCTGATCGTCGGACGTGGCCAAACCAGCGCAGGCGTCTCTCTCTCATTTTTGCCTCAATGGGCGCGATGCCAAATTGTTGACGTATCGTGTCATTGGTGATATGGTCGAGGAAGAATACATCAAGCGTCCTGCGAGTCATGTGCATCTCCATCGAATGGAAACGCCGTTCGGCTGCTCTCGTTGATGGCCAACATTCGGAACCATAGAGATCGATGGCTCTACCACAGTCCGGTAGATTTTCGATTTTAGGTACAGTACATGGGCATCTTTTTGTCGCAGAGAAGCACCGGTGATTTCTCCATCGTACCATGCCGCATTCACCCTCATTCGTACCTCGTCGTCGATGTCTCCCTCACTCTGTAGGGTTGAGACGAGGTAGCGAAAAGTATGCGTTTTATACAAGTTATCATTGTTGACCTGGATCGTGCCCACATTTGGAAAAATTTCTAAATATTCGGTCTTCTTGGTGTTAAGGCGCAAGCCAAAGTAACTTAAACTCCAGGCCTGCACCTGGCACTGTAGCTCTTCTCGAGTGGTGGTTGCAAGCACGATGTCGTCGGCATAAAGCAGCGTCCAAGACACATCGTTCTGTATATTCTTTGTGATAGTGTCCATGATGAGAATGAATAGCAGCGGCGACAGTGCGGAACCCTGATGAACGCCAATGTTCTCTGGAAAGTTGTCAGATGTACCAGTCGCGCACCTCACTCGGCTGCTGGTATTTGTGTACAGCATTCTGACCCAGCTGACGAGGTCCTCAGGCACTCCGTGGTCTTGGAGTGCATACCAAATGAGCTGGTGGGGTACGCGGTCGAAGGTCTTTTCCAAGTCGAGGAAGGCGACGTGTAGTGGTTTGTTTTTCTCTCGGTGTTTCTCCATCAACCTGCAGGCTGCGAAGATTGCGTCGGTAGTTCGACAGCCCCTCAAAGCCACATTGGCCGACACTGATCCGAACGATGTCACAGAAATGTCGATCAATAATGCGCTCAAAGATTTTCATGGTGTTCTCACACCATGAAAATCTTTGAGCGCATTATCGACCGAGACAGTAGGCATATTGGCCAGTAGTTGGATCATACTGTTGGGTCGTCCTTGTTCTTGACGACCAATACAGTGATACTTGTGGACCGGATCGCCGGAGATCGGCCGGTGACTACCACAGCATTGGAGAACGCAGTTAGCCAAGTTGTAGCCTCTGTGTGCAGATCCTTGAGCTTCCAGACGTCTGCTGGCAGGTCATCTAGTTGTGGTGCCTTCTGGTTCTTCATACTTCTAATCGCCAGAGACACCTCCCCAGCCGTGATATGAAGATGGATGTGGGAATTCGATGTTTGATATCTTATCAAAATGTTCGCGCCAGTTGCTCAAGATTTCCTTCTTATTCCGTAGACGCCATCCATTCTTATCCTCATGTACATGTAGTGTTCGATGTCTCGCGCTTTCACCAGTAGGTAGATGTTCTTCTCATCTTCCCGTATGTCAAGTTGCTCGTAAAGATCTCGATGGTGTTTGGCCCACGCTGCAGCCACCGCTCTCTTGGCTTCTCGCTTGGCTGCAGTGTACCGCTGCCAGTTTTCGCCGATGTTATTGGCGAATCAAGCTTTGAAGGCTATCCTCTTATCCCGCGCCTTTTGTTGTACTTCCCCTGTCCAGAGCCATGTCTGCTTATCAATGTGCCGACTACCTAAATTTTTGATGCCAAGGCTCGTCTTTGCAGCTGTGGTGATGGAGCCATGGAGCGCATCCCGCATGGCGTCAATTGAGGATCCGTTGGCTTCGTGGAAGGTAATGCTGTTGATCATGGCAGTTTCGTGTTTCCGCAAATTCCACCAATTAATCGTCATCGGCCCTCTAACGCGGCCGCCCTAACGTTGTGTGATGATCTTCACGTCGATGATTAGCAACTTATGCTGTGGGCAAGACAATCGGATGAAATAACCTTTACATCGGTGACACTATCGTCGAAGTCACGTCTCCGTGCCGGCATGTAGTCGATCCGGCTGCACTGTTTCCATTGTGCAGGTAACCAAATGACTCGTGCGTTTCTTGAAAAAAAGTGTTTCAGACAACAAGGTCGTTAGCTTCTGCTAAGTCAAGAATTCGACAACCGTCATTGTTTCGTGTACCATATCCAAAGCTGTCATGGCAATCATACCCATTCTTGGCCTCCCAACGTGGCCGTTTAAGTCACTACACACCATGAGCATATCTTTCGTAGGGCATTTACATGGTCATGTAAATCTGTGTCATGTAAATCATGGTCAATAATCAATCCATTAAAATTAAAAAATGCATCAAATATCTTGGAGTTTGGCTGGCCTTCAGGCTTGGGTGGGATTAACACATTTCGTATGTAGCCAAAGAACTTCTTTCATTTTTCAAGCTTTCTCTGAAATAGCGCATAAAAACTGGGGTCTATCTTCTGAGGCAATTAGTATCATCTATAATCAAATTTATATCCCCATCATTACATACGGTTGCTGCAGTTGGGGTAAAGCTATTCACAAAGTACATCTTTGTAGGAAATTGATATCAGCTCAAAGGAAAGCTATACTTTTATTAACTAGGGCATATCGGACAGCTCCTACCTGTAGTTTGCAAGAAATTTCTAGAAAGCCACCAATAACTAAGATTATTCAAATGGAATATAATCTTCAACAGATCAAAATGGGAAATGATATTTCTACTTCCACATGTGACTTCAGTTACAGTATTTATGAACATCCAAGTCCCATCAATACCAGTCTACCGCCTAACATCAACAATTTTATTAGTATTGATTCACCCATCTTTTCTGATTTACAGATATACACTGATGGCTCTGGCATAAACGACCCTATTGGATGAGCTTTTGTCGCATATTGTAACGAAGTAGAATTCTACAACTGGAAAGGGAAATTGCATAAACTCTGCACTGTATTCCAAGCTGAATTATTCGCGATCTACATGGCTACCCAATGGACCGAGCATAATTTTACTAGAAAGAACATCCACATTGTTAGTGACTCTTTCTCTGCCATACAGGTCATTTGCAGTAAACAGTTACATCCGATTGCCCCAAATATTCGCAACCTGATTAATAATTCTCATAATAACTACATCATTTCTTGGACTAAAGGCCACCAAGGTACGGTAGGAAATGAACGTGCAGATCAACTAGCGAAGGAAGCTGCTACTGACGATTCATTAGACACCATATATAATAAAATTTGTAGAAGAGGAATTAAAAAACTTTTATATGAAGACCTTTTAAACCGATGGCAACTCGACTGGGACTGCAAACATAATGACACGACTTATAAATTCATACCTAACATCAAAGAATATCATAATAAATATAAATAGATAATTCCAAGTTTCCCCCTTACTCAATTTCTTACCGGACATGGCAAATTTTCAAATTATCTACATCGATTTGTAAATAAGCAAAATGATGTGTGTGCCATATGCGGACAACCAAACAGCGTCGACCATTATCTTTTTACCTATATTTCTCTTGAAACAGAACGTTTAGAAATAAAAACCATTGCTCATAGATATAACCTCAACTGGCCATGCAAACATGAAGATCTCATAAAAAATAAATAAAGTTTTTCTTCTTTTCTTCTACTAGTTAAACGCCATGAGACTATAGCAACCTACGCAACTAGGGAATAATTCTTGATTTTATTCACTTTTACTTAAAAAACTTGTTTATTTTCTTGAAAACTTCTTGTTGTCTTGTTCTTTTATTCGGTTTTCGAAAGTCCCATTATGATTATTGGATTTGCTATATTCGACATGGTTTTGAGGTTAACTCTCTTGCATTTTCTGTCGTCAATTGTTAACGACCCTTTTCTTACATTTGCTCACTTTGCTGAATTGTCAGAGGACTTGACAGATGAAAATGTTTTACTACCATATAAAGGCTTCGATGGATACGTAATTATTATAAACATTCAACATACTTTGATCACTATGCTTCATCTATGATCTTTGTGTTCAGTCAACGTGTTAATTATCTTCATAATAATCGAACACATAACTCATCACAGTCAGTTCGCTTGAAGAATTGCAAAGTCTCCTGGCCAAATAAATTGCTTCAGTGCAGAATCATGGATGTCTTACACACATTGTCTCTGACGTAGACACGTGAATTAACATAAGATATCTTGGATACATTGTCTGTACCGCAGACACGTGACTTTTATAAAAGAAGTGTGGATTATGGATATCTTGAAAACATTGTTTGTGCTGTAGACAGGTGACCTTAATTGAACCTTGTGTCCATATTCTAAACCGTTTGCTTTCTCTGTGCCTCTGCTGCAATATGTGTTTTCTCCATTTCAGAAAGGACATGACATTTGGATACAGCCTACGTGCTGTAACGATAGAGGTAAGTATAATTTTCAAATTATTATTGTATTACCTTTATTCAGTTTACTTGCAGATTCTGATGTTATCTGAATACTCGGAGACCAGACACGCTAGATCATTATCTGAGCCCATCTTGTAGTAATAATCAATGTCTACTACAAGTCTAAGGAAACTTTGCATTGATGTGATTGGATAAGAATACGCCGTTGGATTAGAAAAGCGCTGTTCAACTTGCGACTTGGCTCCATAAACTTTTGCTGGTCGACAGTCTGTGTTATCTAAACATCTGTGTGATAAGAATACATCATCCAATCAGGAAAATACTGTGCAACATGCAACTTGGCTCCACAAACNTGTAATTATTTGTTTGCAAACTTTGCTCCTCTGGAAAATTTTCTGCACATGCCCACGCTTGTTAGAGCGATTAGATTAATAATTTATTGTATATAATGCGTTTTGCATCAAAACTTATTTTTAATCGGAAATAAGATAATTTTTATTTACAGCAATTATATTTAATGTATATAATGTGTAATTTTAAAAAGAATTAATTTTACCTCTACATATACTTTAGACAAGGCACGGCAATAATATACTTGAGAGTTGTTGCGAGCATAAAAGGAAGATTTTCCCTCCGATAAATAGGAATTATACTTTTCGTAACTTCTCTGCAACAGGTTGCTTACCAGCCACAAATATATCTGCAGTATAACTAGTAAATATATATATAATATTTTCTAATACAATTGAATACAATAACTCACGAATAATAATAATAATATACTACCTTCCACGTTTAACAGTTCTTCCATTTCGTTGATTAGAAATTTTTGCTTCAAGATTTTGTCATAATTATTTAGAAAACTTACACTGCTGCTCTGCGATGGTTGAAAATTTTCTGAAAAATCAATATATATAATTAATGTATGTAAAATATAAATGCTTTGTTCAAACTGTTCAAATTTAATTACAAAATACATTCACTTTTGGGGAATTTTCTATGTTTAAACTTAAAGGAATAAAAATAAAACTGCACGCTTCATTACAATTACTTGAGAAATTTTGCTACAAGTTGAGCAAAGTAGCCATAATGTTCCTAAATGCAAGATTGAAATAATGATATTCAATGCGCTGGATTTATCATTGTATCAAAGTCTGACATAGCGTGTTAAACACGTGTTAGTTCACTTTGGAACACTGCGAAAGTGAAACCTTCTCAAAGTTAACTTATTCGAGTAGTCTTTGATATTAATTTTTAATGTGGTAAAATGTAGAACAGATTACCTGTTCCAATGCTCACACCCCTTGAAATTTTAAGATGTGTATTTACATTCTTCAACATCAATTTGTTAAGGTTTTTTTAATGTAAGAGAACAATGTAAGGTTGTCCCATTTTCTCACACTCCTCCCTTTAAGTATAGCTTAAGAAATTAGCAAAGCTTGCAAAAATATCTTGTAAAACTATACTGGTGCAAAGTCATACATGTAAAATTGGCAGGGGTTTTAGGAATACAGTAAAATAAATAAGGTACTTATCGATTCGCGGGGTGCCAGTCAATCGATGCGATCTAACTCTCTGTGTTGGGTTGATAATTGGTTCAGAAAGGATTTCCTAAATGGACGAGTAACTTCAAACACAACAGTCGTTCGCAAATGGTTCGCTGGCTCGCGCCTCCCGCTCGCGGGGCGCGAGTATTCGCCCCGGGGCTCTGGGCGGGCGACCCCCCGATCCAAGAGAAAATTATATAACATCAGGTCACGTGGGAGGCAAGTACTATGTATTGTAACTAAACTTCCAATTACAGGTCGATCGATGTCCAAGAGTGTAAATCTACCAGAAATTGGCTACGTTACATTACCGAAGAAGATCGGAACCCACTCCATCCCAATGTTAGCTCTAGCGAATTTCACTTCAACTACCGAGCCAGAAAACGGGCTACTAATGCAGCGGGGGATGTGGGGAGCATACGTACCAGTGGCGTGCCGTCATCAGAAGCGGTGGATGCGCCGCTTCCCTCGTATTTTCTAAAAAAAATAAATACATATTAGTTTTAATTATACGAAAATAATCGCGCAATATTTTATTATAACCGCATTACGTATCTTATTACAAATTTCTATACTACGCGTGAAAAAAAGATAAGATCGCTATCGTATATTCTAATATTAGTGGCGGGGTGGAAGCGCCGTACCGTCGGCATCCGAAAAGCCGGATTCGCGCGCGCGCTTTACGGAGCACCGGCGGAAGCCTAGGACCCGGGGTGGACGCTACGCGTATACCGCATCCGATTCTATCCAGGACCGGTTCCGGGCCGTTAGCCGCCCGCCCGCTAGATATTTGGCATTGACCGGTAACGGCCCCCTAGGGATTTGGCAGTCGGTGTGTATGCGCACTCCGCAACCGTCTTCGATTCCATCTGTTAGCCACTGGTAGGGAGCTATTTGACTAAGCGCGTTGTTTTAAGATTTCAAAAGTAAAGAATATTTTATATTTTTATGTACGTTTCTTTACAAAGTTGTATTTAATTATAATTTTCTTTAAAAGTATATTCATACGATTGACGAATATTTCGTACCGGGTATGTACTGTACATCCAGCACACAGTTTATTTCACCGAGTAAGTTTTTATTATTTTATTTATAATTGTAGCACTTATATCGTGGTTAGCGATTCGGAATGTAATTGTGATATTAAAAATGCATTTAGAGAATATGTAAATTTTCGACTATAAATTCGACTATCTTCTATTATCAGGACTTATTATACTGGTTAACCAGTATAATAAGTCCTGATAATAGAAGATAGTCGAATTTATAGTCGAAAATTTACACATTAATAAGGAAAGAAGGACATTGAGGCAATTTAATTAAATGCATTTAGAGAAGTCTACGGTTTTTACTGGCTTATAGAATAAACGATACGAATGGACCCTAGACCGTCGCTGACGCGCATTTGACCGATTGCCCCCGGATGTCGGCTTCCCTATCGTCAAATGTCACGGCACGCCACTGATACGTACCCATTTGGGAAATCCTCTCTGAACCAACTATTAACCTAATACACGCGAGTTAGATTGTGGCAGTCAGCCATAGTGTTATATTTTAATTTTATTTTTATTATTTAATTAATTAATTTAAGATTCTTCCCTTTCCTTTGTTTCATTCTCCTTCTGAGAATTTTGTTATCAACCCTTCTTCATCCTGGGATAGGATTAAGTATTTCTCGAATTCTGGAGAACAAAGGAATAGATGAGGTCCGGCCAGGGGACATTCGGGATGAAGATCCCGAAGAAAACAGAAGGTAAAAAAGAGAGCGCTCGTGGCCCGAAGTTAAGGCGAAGGAGAGGCAAGAAAGAGGGAAAAAGAAAAGAGACGATTTCGGTAAAAGACGTAAAGACGACGAATAATCCAAGGAAAAGGTAGAATTTTTCATATAGNTGATCACTATGCTTCATCTATGATCTTTGTGTTCAGTCAACGTGTTAATTATCTTCATAATAATCGAACACATAACTCATCACAGTCAGTTCGCTTGAAGAATTGCAAAGTCTCCTGGCCAAATAAATTGCTTCAGTGCAGAATCATGGATGTCTTACACACATTGTCTCTGACGTAGACACGTGAATTAACATAAGATATCTTGGACACATTGTTTGTGCCGCAGACACGTGACTTTTATAAAAGAAGTGTGGATTATGGATATCTTGAAAACATTGTTTGTGCTGTAGACAGGTGACCTTAATTGAACCTTGTGTCCATATTCTAAACCGTTTGCTTTCTCTGTGCCTCTGCTGCAATATGTGTTTTCTCCATTTCAGAAAGGACATGACATTTGGATACAGCCTACGTGCTGTAACGATAGAGGTAAGTATAATTTTCAAATTATTATTGTATTACCTTTATTCAGTTTACTTGCAGATTCTGATGTTATCTGAATACTCGGAGACCAGACACGCTAGATCATTATCTGAGCCCATCTTGTAGTAATAATCAATGTCTACTACAAGTCTAAGGAAACTTTGCATTGATGTGATTGGATAAGAATACGCCGTTGGATTAGAAAAGCGCTGTTCAACTTGCGACTTGGCTCCATAAACTTTTGCTGGTCGACAGTCTGTGTTATCTAAACATCTGTGTGATAAGAATACATCATCCAATCAGGAAAATACTGTGCAACATGCAACTTGGCTCCACAAACTAGTGATGGTCGACAGTCTGTGTTATCTAAACATCTGTGTGATAAGAATACATCATCCAATCAGGAAAATACTGTGCAACATGCAACTTGGCTCCACAAACTAGTGATGGTCGACAGTCTGTGTTATCTAAACATCTGTGTGATAAGAATACATCATCCAATCAGGAAAATACTGTGCAACATGCAACTTGGCTCCACAAACTAGTGATGGTCGACAGTCTGTGTTATCTAAACATCTGTCATGAACTATACATGGCTTCAACATCGATGAGCTTCGACAAAACTTACCACCAAACTAGAAAAAGTGTGCTGTAGACACTCTGCCTCATAAGAGTTCATAACACTCTGTTTGTATTACGATTAGAATACAACACGCTCAGTTTATTGTTATATATCAATAGCATAAGTTTAGTTTTAAGTTAGTTTTAGTTAATTTTCGTTCACCTCTATTTTATCTTACGTACTTTTTCTTTAATAACCTGCGTGACAAGTTGTAAGTTTATATCTATTTTGGTACACCCAACTCCTGTATAACCATTTCTATTCATTACCACGATATCGATTTGTAAAATTCATGCTGATATTGTACAACTTCTTCACTTTTGTCTCCCTACAATTTGTCAAGCGGTTTTATCATCTGTAAATTATACTTTCATATAAAAAAAATTGTATACAGTATATATTTCTCAGCTATGTATAATACGGTACTGGGAATGCACCTGCAAGGTGCCTAATATAGAATTGATGATGATGATGATGATGTAAATCATGGTCACCAAAACTGCTCCTTCTCCTCCTCGACGCATCCTGTTTGCGGGGCATATGCCGACTGCCTACGTCAATGATAACAGACGGAATGACGATTCACTTCTGTCACGCAGTCACGCAAGTCGGGGCTAACGTCCAAGGCGACACCACGCTGGTTCGACTTGCCGTAGTACACAAATTTAAACCCATCACCGTTGTCACGTGACTACTCTTCCTTCCAACGTGTTTCCTGCAGGCAGGCAATGCTCACACGACGTCGTTTAAGTACAGTATATCGGCGAGCTGGCGGTTACTCCCGGTTAATGTTCCAATTAGGAATCCCGGCTGTTTTTAACCCGGGAAATCCCGCAAATTTCTTAAAAATTCACTTTTTTCTCATTTTGTGTTAAAATTGAGGAAATTTTGCAAATAGAAAGTCATAAACTGTCAGAAATCTTTATTTAATTGATTTTATCAATTAAATAAAGATGGAAAAGAAATCACGCGTTTGATTAATAACACGATCTTGTGTTTAATACGCTCAAAAAATAGTACAATACGGTTTCAAAAAACAAATAAACAGCATTTGTATTTATTATTTTAAGCCTGCTTATTAGTTTTTTAAATTTTTGCTTATTACGGCATGTGACAGATTGTCAATGGTCAATATGTAGCCTATTTGTGGCAGGACTCGGAAAATTCTTTACTCGTCAGAAGCCGTAATATCTGGAATAATTGCGCTTACGCTGTCTTCATTTTTAACCACGCTAAGTAGCTTCGATAACTGCGTTTTTTACAGAGGCGGCGTAAGGCGCGAGCGACGCGGACCACCGCCTACGGTCTCGCGCTTCGAAGGTTTACGCATTACATAAAAGCCGTGAAGGCAACGAAAAAAATTTACTCGTCATAAAACGATAAACATATCGTGTACGTACCAAATTTGTTTTTATTTGTCTAGCAACATTTGCTGGAGTTGCGTTGCTATGGCGGGGAATCCTTGCCAGCACGAGCTGGGAATTACGTTACTTTCACGATTCTCAACGGCTAGAAACTCAATCAAAGTATCTCAGTAAAGTATCCCGTAAACAGCGGAGTTAAAACTCGAATATTAAATATTAATCCCAGGGAATTTTTCACGCTTTGCGGTTGTCATAGCTGAAATCTGCTGCCGGTTGACGCAACTAATTCTTCTGTGGCAGAAAAACATTTTTTGGTTTTATTCAGAAAATTTGTTTGTTATTTTCGAGTTCCAGCACACGCTGGGAATTAATCAAAGGCAAATTAAAGCTTACTACGAAGCCTTTATCTGACGCAAGGTGAGAAAGCGGAATCGAGGCAGCGAAGGCCTTATTATTGCAATTTGATGTCGAATGCGTCGAAAGCTTAAAAAATCAAACGGAACAACCAGACAAACTCGGTGATTGCGATTCGTTTTAAACGAAATGCTCAGTTTAGAATTTATCATATCATTACGTGTGTGGTATGAGATATTATCGAGTGTTAATATGGCAATCTGTACGAGTCCATTTAAGCATTGCTCTTGAACATTTTTGTACATTTTGTGACCGTATCAAAGAATATCGACAAACTGGATTCGAAAAATGCTTGTCTGACGCTGGTCAATTTATTGAGAAAAGCGGTTATGAACTGCCAAAAGACTAAAAACGAAAGGGTAGCCAAAAAGAAAAGGATGTTCGATGATGAAGGCAGCGATCAACCTATACAGTTCCCAAAAGCGGGTATGAAACAGATGTTTTTAACACCACCATTGATTCTATAATAAGCAATATGGATTCGAGATTTTGAAAATTTTGGTTTTCTCTACGATCTAAGCGAGTTAAAAAATATTTCAAAAGAGCAAATATTAAAAAACCGTCAAGATGTACACTCAGTCCTGCGAGTGGGTGAGAGCGGTGACTTCCAACCTTACGAATTATACGAAGAATTACAAACAACGATCCCAAATTTATCCAACTTCATTAAAGATGTGACACGGCTGCTCCAATACATAACAGAAAATAATTCGAAAGAAATTTAGACAAAAATGCACAAGTTATAAGACCTGCGCTCTCATTTGGTTTTGGGTTTATTGGTACTGTAACTCGTTATCATAATATGGAAATAAAAAACCAAGATTTTTTGGCCCAAATATTTACATTGCCGTTCGAATTTTGTTAACAATGCCGGTAAGTACTGCCTACGCCGAAAGGAGCTTTTCAAAGTTAAAACTAATAAAAAATTATTTAAGAAATACAATGGGTCAGCAAAGACTTTCAGCTTTGGCAGTTTTTTATCTATTGAAGCATACAGTAGACCCCCCTATAACGCTTAGATACGTTCCACGCTAATCGAATTTTACGTTGTAGGAATGATTAAATACATGAGCCAATCGCAGCCCGATAGGTGTGAACTTTACGGACTAAGGCTGTTCGAAAGGTTTTCTTCTATAAAATTAACCGATTCTAGACTAATTCCACATTTCCAAAACACGTATAATTTTTTGGGAATAATCTGTATAAACTACGCTATAAACAAAAAATTATAGGATTACTTACCGAGTGTGCACCATTCGACTACGCCCGTTGTTCAAAGCTTGTCTTCGTCGCGGAACAGCACACGAAACGGCGGCCGCGATATCTGATAAATAATTTTTCGCAGAAAAATAACTTGACCTTTGGAGACATCATTAATATAAATAATTTTTATGGCCGTTGAATAAGAAATGTTTCTTTCACAAGAAATGTATAAAATTAGAGCTGTATTAGACTTACGGTACCTAATTTACATACTGTAAGACGATAATAAACTCAACTTATTGCCTAAAATCTCCGTAGCGTGGCGCCACGCTAGACGGCGGAAATTATGTATTTAATTATAATAAAATTACAATAAGTTAATATATAATTATATATACAGTACCTAATTTATATATAATTTATATATAATATTGTACAGACGATAGCAAACTCAATTTAGCCGCTCTGTAGCGTGGCGCAGGGTCGGAGGAAAGTAGTTCGGCTGCTCATCCACTATTGGTCCAGATTCTATCAATCTTGTCGCGAAACGACGTTATGGGAGGTACTTTATACGAATGTTGCTACAATTTTTTTGCTACGTTATAGGAATTGTCGTTATAGGAATGCACGTTATAGGGGGGTCGACTGTAGTTAATGTCGATTTCGGTAAATTATCTTTTTTAAAGATTAAGAATTCGTTTAAAAGCGGTGCTGTTGTGAACTAAACACAGACAACAAGCCGGTAGGCCAACTCCTGTCGCAACCCAAGGATCACAAACGTCACTTTTAGAATTATCGTCGAATGCTAGGGCGTACCCCAGAGGCGACCAGCGTGAAAAATTTGCAAGGGCGGAAAGGGCTAAAGAAGCTAGTCTACCCAAATCCGAACCCGAACCCGAACTTGAAAACTAAATCCAAGTCGATCCGAATCGCTACACTCAACATTGGAAGTAGGGTTTTTCATTTCCCGGTCTTTTGCTTGTCCCGGGACTCCCGGATAAAAGTGAAGTGTTTCCCGGCATCACGGAATATAATTAATTATTTTTAAGATATAGAATAAATCTTAAAATCGTATGATATAATAACTTTTCATTTTTAAGTAACTTAGCAATCTCCAAAATAATAATAATAATGCTGTGTAAAATATGTATAAAAAATTACTTTTGAGTTACGTAGAAATTTTCACAAATAGAAAAAGTTTATTAAAGTTTGTTGGAACTGCCTTTGAATTGAATTGAAAATTTAAAGAAAAAAATGAACTTCTAAGTTAGAAGGTAATTTTCGTTATTTAAATAAAACATAATATTACTAGCAGGTGGTCCCGGCGTTGCTCGGGCAAAAGTAACGATACTAAGATAAAGATTATTACGTTACAGTCAACCTTACCCGTTTTCACAGAATGCAAGGATTGTGTCCCCTTGTTTGCAGACTAATTAGAGAATTTTTAGATGGGTCTAAAAATATGTTCGATTTCCCGCAAAAACGAAAAAAAAAAAAAACTGCATCTGCGTCTTGCACGTCGCTTTCTCTTAACAATTCCATTGTTACGTAGCATTTCCATTGTTGACACTTCCATTGTTACTTAGCACTTCCATTGTTACTTAGCACTTCCATTGTTACTTAGAACTTCCATTGTTACTTAGCACTTCCATTGTTGATGGAAGTGTTAAGCCTTAACCCTGTCCCTCTCCCCAGTGGGGAGGAATTTCGAAAAATCCCTTCTTAGTGTGCGTTTTCGTGACGTACCCTATCTGTGTACCAAATTTTACAATAAGATTTTTAAAAGCAAAGACGGTCGATATTCCGATCACTCAACTCGATTCTTATTTTACTAAAGAAAAGTGCCGCTACCGAGAATGCCCTTTTCAATTCAGTTGATGCGGGTGGAATCGTCTTTAATGCATTTAATACAGGGATGTCCAACCCGCGGCCCGAGGCAAGTTCCAATGCGGCCCAATAAACGTGTAAACAAAACCGACAAATCTTTTAATTATTTATTTATTTCAATGACATAAACCTCAAAAGTTTCGAAAAGTCGTAAACCTTTATTCATATTTTATTTTTTAATAGAAAGGAAATATTTTCAAATACTTGAAATGTGTGAATGTGGAAGGGAGTCGTGACTCAAAGGATTATAGCCCCAAATTCGGGGAAAGAAGAGAAAGTCCAAAAGATAAAAAGAAGTGAGAAAGGTTGGAAAATTAAGGATAAATATTTGCGTAACAGAAGGTCTATTTAACTTTTCTCACTTTTTTATTTTTTGACCTTTGTCTCCTTTCCCCAAATTTGGGTCTATAATCCTTTGAATCCCAACTCCAGCTTTATTTAATATTCCTTTCGGCGTTGCCAGGTTTGGCTACTTTGCATCAAATTTGCCTACCCCGTTTTTAGTTTGTCTACAAACATCGCTAAACCCGATATACTGTATATTCGAAATTTCGTTAAATTAAGGAAGCTTAAGGAAGTATGCAGCAAAAATTGAAATGTTATTTTCTACAACTTATGTATGTGAATAGTTTTTCCACAATGAATTTAGTAAAAATTAAAACGATAAACCGGCTAAGAGACACATCGAAACTAATTTAAAGCTAGCGGTGACGTGACTAATATTAAGCCAAGTATTTCCGATATATTACGTTTACATCAGTTCCAGAAGCTAAATTAAGTATACCTATGCTTATTTATAGTTGTATATGAATAACTAACTGTGACTTACCGACATTTTTCTGCTTCTTTTCTCACGTATGCGGCCCGCTTCGGTTCAAAAGTTTCGAAATGCGGGCCCTTACATAGAAAAAGGTTCTAGTCTATGTAAATTTTTTCGGCTCCATTGGGGACTTGCTTCAGATCTTTTCTTTTTTCTATGGATGTAAACCTGAAGCGAATTCTGAATAGAGCCAAAAATCTTTCCTCAGACTAGAATTTATCTAATTAATGTTTTTAATATTGCTACTGCTTTTGGTCCAAAGGACTTGACTTTCTGAACAGATTCTCATTGTGATCGCACTTGTTTTACAGTTGAAGGAGAATTATTTGTAACTCTGCTTTTTAACAGAGATTTAATATTTTCAAACTATATATTAATTTAACATCTATCCGAAGCTTTACAAGAACTTTAATATTAATGGTATCGGGAATAAACTAACCTTCGTCTTTCTTTCTTTTTATGTTGAGTAAGTAATTGCCGATTTGCAGTAAGAGGACGTTATTATCTCCTTCGTACGTGCAGTTGACATCATTATCGTTCCGTAGTATTCCTAGACCGGAAGCTTAAATAAAAATATACGTACAGTACATATATAAATACAAACTTACATTTTGTATTTACAAAGAAATGAATTGAAATACGGACACTCGAGACACCTTTGTATGCAGCAAAAACAATTTAATTACCAAAGATATTAGTAAGTAAATTGTTGTTGTTACATACAAAGTTGTCTGGAGTGTCTGAATATGCACAGTTGAAATTAATGAAAATAAAATAGTCTTAAAATGTTAATTCTAATTTTAACGTTCAAGGGTAATATGTATAATTTTCACTGTTACAGATTAATATATAGTTTAATTATAAATTAATATAATGAAATTATATGTCTAATTATATTAACGTTAAACTTATGTAAGTTTTAGATTAAGCTATCCTCCTTAAATTCCACTCTGACCCCTTCTCCATATATGTCTGAATTATTAATTTATTAAATTCTAATCAGTTACGTTAAAGATAGCAACTCACTGTAGGTGTAAGTGTCTGTCTGTCTGTCTGTTAATTAATTTCAATGTTTTAAAATAGTCTAGCAGTTATAGTTATTAATTGAGACAAAGTCAATAGCTTCTTTAATTGAAGTCCATCCGTGTTAATAATCATTTAGCTTTAACAGAGTAAAACCTCACCGATAAGTTTCTTAATCCGTTCACAAACATTAAAAGTAGGCAATTAATTAAAATTTAATGGTTCGTACGTAATTGTGAGATTAGCAGCGGGTCGGGACTTAATCTCTGCCTGATCACTTAATCCGCACAGGCTGGTAAAGCCCGATCTCGGAGTCGTTGAATGGCTAGGAGGGCAAATCGAGTGGGGAGGAGGTGAGGAAGCTGACAGGTGTCCTTAAATGACAGGAAATATGTTCAACAAAATAACAAACATTTATTGAATGGCTAAGTTAGGATACATAAGGCGATAACAATATATAGGTTAAATGCGGTTAGATACAACTAAGAATAAATGCGGATAACATAAATACGCCTATGGCGATTATACAATTTATCCCTTCTCTAAAGGGTTTACTCTAACGACTAGTCCTATATGCGTAGAGAGAGAGAGAGAGAGAGAGAGTTCGCAGATTCAAAATAATTACCTCAAAGTGCTATATGTGGCAATAACAGTTCTTTATGCCAGAGTTGGGCGTGGTCGATGTCTTCTACTGATGCGGGAGACGTGGAATCAATATTACCTATGTGTGCGAACTCCCCGAGCTTCCGGTGGTCTGCACCTTTTATGTCATTCGCGTGGGAAACTGGCACGTGGTTGACTTTTGTTGACGATGACGGTGCATTCTTCACACCTAAGTGTCAACTTTCACATCTAATTGTTATCACAATCGGTGACCTCCGATCTAGTTCAAATTCTCCGGGTTTTTTCCGAAGATCTTTACACTTGATATAAAATTTGGATTTTTTTAAGAGCCCCATAAAAATCCGCGGGCTGACATAATCATAGTCGAGTGGTCAAAGTGTAATTTGTTACTATTTGCATCTAATGACAATTTAAGAATTGTATCGTAATGTAGACGTAGCAATTATCAAAGTTTATTTAACAGTGAAGAGATTAAACAGAATTAAGCTATTTCATCTGTATTGTATTTTAGTTTTAAAATTTAACTAGATGCATAAAATCATTTTATTTAGAATTTAATCATAGTTTTGAATTCAATGTTAATGGCATTAAATTAATTTTAATTATTGGATTTTAACGGGAATAATTCTTTTTGAATATATTTTCATTGATAATACAGTGGTACCTCGGTATACTGCTTTAGAATAAGTCCAATTCGGAATACGTCCTGTTTGGACGAAACAAATTTTGCTCGGTATGGCCGCGTTTCTTTATGCAGCGCTCGAGAAGCGCTTTACAGCGAACCTTCTGAAACCCGTTTCTAAATGCAGCGCTGCAATGTAGCGAACCGTTTCTAAACGTTTGCTGCAAGAGGGCGCTGCAGCGAAGATAAAGCAGCTTTTACGTCCGCTACACGTGTAAAGCAAAATGGACGCTTGTGTGTATAATACGATATTATGCTGTAAAAATAAAAAAGTCGAAGTGACTGTTGATAAAAATATTATGGAAAGATTAAGAAGGATTAAATTTTATGAAATGACTCTGAAAGTTATCTAAAGAATAAGAAAATACTATATTTTAAATATAATTATATATCTTTTATCTCTTTACTTTGTTCACATTTATGGAAAGATAAATGCTCGATTCTTTATATCTCTTTATTTAAATATTGTAGTTCTTTAACTAAAGCACTATTTTCGGCTGTAACTGGAATTAAAGGATATATTATGACGTCCGTGTTTCGCTCGAGCGGAAAGCGTTTCTAAACTATGATGCAGCGACGTGTAGCGATAGCTGCTCGTGACGTCATATACGCTGCACTCTCGCTGCATAAAAAAACGCAGCCTATACGACTTAGTTTATATGCGCCATCTATGAACAAGTAGCACTATCGGTGTACTAGACCAGACTAGATGTTCGCTGTTCCACGGTTTATAACTTTGTTAAATTTTTTCTGATTTTAATTTTTAAGTAAAATTTTATTATTTTTATTAATCATGAATTGGAAAAGGCAAATGAAAAGCAACAGAAAACTAAAAAAAATTACTAGAATCACAACGAAACTGAAAAAAGAGATTGTTGAGAAATACGAAGGTGGCACGCGTGTTCGAGATTTAACTGTTGCATACCGTATTTTGAGAACGACGATATGGACAATCGTAAAAAATAAAGACATTATTAAATCTGCTAACGTTGCGAAACGGGTTAAATCAATTTCTAATCAGAGATCGAAGATATTAGATCATGTCGAGAAATTGCTTTTGCTTTGGATAACTGAAAAACAGTGTGCTGGCGACAGCGTATCGGAAGCAATTATTTGCGAGAAAGCTAAAAAGATACACGCTGATCTCGTGAAAAATAAGCAGGAACTAGCCAGGAAAGCGAGGTGTTTAAAGCCAGCATTTTTTTTACATGAGAACGGATTAATCATTTTTACATTACTTCTTATGGGAAAGGTTGGTTTGGTATACGTCCTATTCGGTATAAGTTCAAACACCAGGAACGGATTAAGGTTGTATACCGAGGTTCCACTGTATTTTTCTTTTAGGTTAAGCTGTTTAAGGATCTTGAAAGTTAATGTTTCTGTGAGATACCCATTTACAATAATATAAAAAATAGTCCAGAATTTATTTGCTTAATGAGGTAATCAGTTTGTATTTAAAATATATACATTTTTAAACGAAATTGTAAATAATTTACACAATTAATTTAAAATAAACAATGGAACAAAGCCACTTCCAGGCTGTAAGAAGTGTTTTAGTATTAGGTTCATCAGTTAAAACGTTCAAAAGGAACAATTTTTTCTGCTAAATTTAGCTCACTAATGTAAGAAAGTTTCCGCCGAGGGGCTGACCAAGTCGACTGGTCTAAGCCTTCCGAACAAGTACTTCGAACGCTAGCAGCTAGTAAAGGAAACTTAAAGAAACTAAAGAATTGATCGGAAAAGTAATAGATCTCTTTGACCTATAAGTTATGTGACGCACTGGGTAGGGCCCCCTTTTCTAGGAGAGGGAACCCCGCTGACTGTTATGGTGAGCTAGTCTCTCATTGGTATAGAACTCTACGTGCAGCACTGGCTGCACCTAAACGTACGTCCATGTAAGAGGTTTGGACTTGAGAGCGAGGGAGGCGATAAAGGTTGGTGATCCCTCTCGGTTACACTGGAACCAGAGCCAGAGCTAGAGCCCGAGCATTCATCTCAGGTTCGAACTAAAAGAGTCCAGGACACTCAGTGGCTGCTGAGTATCAGACCAAGCCCATGATTAAGACATAGTCCCTTTGTATTCTGTAGTGCCACTTGGCGGAGCAGAGGCAAATTACGTAGAGTTTGTTATATGAGGCTTCAGACCATTCGATGACAAACTGGCAGGAGAGCTGGACGCAAAGTACGGTAGGCAGCTATGCCTTCATGCCTGAAGTTAGCCGAACTCCAGTAAGTTGTGATTGGTTAGTGACCCAAATGCTGCCTGAACACGGGCGGTTTCCTCACTTCAAGTCCAAGTTTAGACAAGGAGATGGTTGCTGCTCCTGTGGGTGTTCTCGCGGAGACGTGAAGCACTACGCATTTGATTGTGCTCTTACTGAAGACGTCCGCAGGACTGTCAACGACATCGACTGGTTCCAGCTTCCCAAGCAAGTACTTCGAACCCTAGCAGCGAGCAAAGTGAACCTATTGAAACTAAAGGAATTGATGGGAATTGTAATAGTCTTTTTGACCTATAAGCCCAAGTGTCTCACTGGGCTGGGCTCCCTTTCTAGAAAAAAGGATACTGCTGACCATTCAAGCGACGCGTCGCTTGAATGGTCAGCGGGACGTCGGGACTCGGGACGTCGCGGGTCCATTCGGGACGTCGCGACGTCCCGAGTGGACGATCAGCTGATTGGACATATCGAAGCTTTCAGCCCCATCGTCTTAAATGACCAGGCATGAGCTAGCCTCTCTTTGGTAGAGGACTCAAGCCACTGCACCAAAACTGTATTACAAAATAAGAGGATTGGACTCGAGAGCGAAGAAAGCAAGGAAGGCTAATTCCTACTGAGTTGTGTGACAGACCCCGAGTATTTATCTCATTCCGGTGTTATAGTTTAGACACCGCAGTGATTATTCAGTTCCTGCAGCCAATGATTAAAATACAATGTCTTTGTGTCTGTATAGTGCCACTTGGCAGAGAGCAGAGACTTAAACTTGGAGTTTTGATATGAGGCTTCAGACCATTCAAAGCGATGGAAGGAAGGTCTTTCAAGACCGACGAAGAGGTGAAGCAGGCAGTCTACGAGTGGCTACTCTCATAACCAAAAATAACTTTCTTCTAGGAATATTCATGAACTTTCAAAGCGCTGGAACACTTGTACACACGCCACAAACACTATGTAGAAAAATGTCTTAAATGTACACCTTTTACATTCAATAAATGTGAAGATTAAAACATTACAAACAGTATTAATTTTTCATTTGACTCGCCTCGTATACGAAAAACATATGACTACCAATATACAGTATATATACAGTAGACCCCCCCTATAACGCTTAGATACGTTCCACGCTAACCGAAAATTACGTTGTAGGAATGATTAAATACATAAGCCAATCGCAGCCCGATAGGTGGGAACTTTACGGACTAAGGCTGTTCGAAAGGTTTTCTTCTATAAAATTAACCGATTGTAGACTAATTCGACTCAACATTTCCAAAATACGTATAATTTTTTGGGAATAATCTGTATAAACTATGCTATAAACAAAAAATTATAGGATTACTTACCGAGTGTGTACCGTTCGACTACGCCGTTGCTTAAAGCTGGTTTTCATCGCGGAACAGCACACGAAACAACGGCCGCAATTTCTGATAACGAATTTTTGGCAGAAAAATAACTTGACCTTTGGAGACATCATTAATATAAATAATTTTTATGG